TATTAAACTAAAGTCAATTTATGTCAAATTCAATCAAACTACTTGCAATGCTTAGAAGTTTTAGTTGGTTGATTACTATAAATGGAAAAATTAGTGAACGGAGGAATTGGTTTTTCTTGTTTCTACTATCTTCAAACAACGATTGTCACTAGGTTTTCATTTCTTTTTCTCACTAAATTCTTAGAAAACTAGTGAGAATGGTTTACTAATAAAGAAATTGATCTTGATAGTTTAATGTGTGGGAAACTTCTTGAGCTAACTGAGGATAATATTACAAAACAAGGAGATTACATTTATCATTATAACTACAATAGGGGAATCCCAAGTTTGGCTAGGGTCTTACAGGTATGAAACAATTTGGTGCCAAACTTATCTTTCTGTGTATAATCTAATTGCTAGCCAAAATCTATTTCTAGTGTGTGCTCAGGGAACTATCATTAAAGGTGGGAATCAAGGTGGGCTCGGCCATTAAGGGCTCAAGCCCTAAAGCCCGATTATTCAAAATTTAATCTATTTCTAAGGCTTAGCCCTTATTTACAAGGCTCAAGGCCCAGCCTCTAAGCCATCTTTCTCACAAAAAAATTATTTTAATTTAAATAAAATATTTTAAAATTTAATATAAAATAAATTAAAGTCCCATATAAAATTCAACATAAATTCGACAAAGATTTACAATTTTAAATTTAAGATATATATTAAAATCTTCATTAATATAAATTAAAATTCTCCTCATCATCATTTAAAAATAAAATATTAAATCCCTTATATGAAGGTATACTTGTTGAAAATAGAGGTATAGATTTAATATTAATTATCTCTACAACTTTTTCTTCATTACTTATAATAAATATTAATCAAATTGTATCATTCTTAGTCAAATATATATATATATATGTATGTATGTATGTACATATATATATATATATTAAGATAACCCAGCTTATTAGGGCTTAAAAGGCCGCCCGAACCCGAACCCTTTTTAATAGAATTTATCAAGATTAGGCCCTTAAGCTCAATTACTTTAAAAAAATAATTTCTAAACCCCAAACCTTTATTTAAATAGGGCCTTCATGCTTGGCCCTTTAAGTGCAGCCCGTATTCCCGATTCTAACTATCATTCCAATTTTCAAGTGAATTCTTGTTTTCACATTTCAGCTATCAGACTCGGACAACAAAACCATCTTCACTTGTCATCCTGTTTGTGTATTATCTTTCTTTATGTGTTTTTCTATAGTTAGATGATTTAATAACATGAATACTACTCATAATAAGTACTTGTAATGATCTCAAAAGTTAATATTTTGTAATTGTTTGATATAGTCTTTCATCTAATTTAGTGTGTTCAAACAATGGATGCTGGTGATTATATACTCTTCATCATGTATCCTTGTAGAGATAATTAAAAAACTTTTACCATGTCTTCTGCTGACAGTTTAATTTTTTAGAATTGGAGTAAAGTGTTGGTGTGCCTTATATCAACCTCAAGACAATTAAACTTTGCTGAGTCTTTTTTATAGAACACTTTTAAAAATTGTCTTCTACATTAATTCACACACATAGAGATCAGAACACAAAAAATAAGCTTATCAGTCATAAGGTAGATCTCTTTTGGCAAGTTATATATGCTGCAAAATTCATATGACTTATTTAAGTGGTTTGCTTTGGTCTTTTTATATAGAACACTTTTAAAAACTGTCTTGTGCATTAATTACTTTTTCACAAAAATACCCTTCATTACTTCACATTTAATTAATTAGGTGGAAAAATTAACTGTGATAAAATTAAGATGTGTAATTTCCATAGTTTTCATGGTTGATTATTGACTTCATCTAAAACAATGTCATCTCATACTTGCTGGTATAGTAGATGAGACTGGATATCTTGTACACAAGTACACTAAACACAAGAATTTTGTACACTTCTTGATATCCAATATTATAAAATTAACATAATTGCTTACCAAAATCTTTTTGAAGTTGTAAAACCATATCTGATTAAATACAATCATCATATAGTTTTATGCCTGATTTTTTTCTGTTATTTGTTTTTAGAACCTTTCAGTATGTCTTGGTCTAAATTCTGGTATTATGATTAAAAAAAAGTGTTCAAACAAGTTCATCATGTATTAATTCCTTTATTTTATTATGATTATTATTATTTTTTAAAGAAGGAAAGCATATAGAAAATGCATTGCCAATCATGTATTATGATTATTCTTATTATGATTATTAAATAGGTGAGTTTGTTCATAATTAATATGATATTTATGATTTAATTAAATTATTTTTCTTTAATATTTTTTGCAGCTAGAATATGATTGGGTACTTTTTAGCTAAGAATGGTGTTAGATACACTTGTTTGTGCCATGTAAGCACGGGAGGATTGACAATGTTTTTGAATTATTTGGTTATAATTTACATTATAATCATATAAATTATAGTATTGAATAAATTAGTTGTTGATCTCTTGTGTGTATATATATATATATATATTGAAATTTCTTATTGCTTGTATTTTTGCATTAATTATATAAATAATTTTTTATATATTGTTCATGATGTACAATGCACGCAAGGAATAGTAAATGAATTAATTTTTTTTTAAATTAACCTACTAGAGCATTTTGAGAAAAAAAAAGCTCCTCTAAAGGTCTCATAAGAGAACATTCCTAAATAAAAATGCTTCGGTAAGCATACCCTATGAGAGCATTTACATGAAAAAAAGCTTCGATAGGCCTAACATACAAAAGCCTTTCTTACCTAAAATGCTCCTGTAGGCCCACTTTACTGGAGTGTTTCTAAAACACTCCCATACATATGAGAGCGCTAGCTTTCGAAATGTTTTCAAAATATTAAAATAAATGCTTCGAACAAGCTTTTTTGTAATAGTGATTTATTTGTAAGAAAAAATTAATCAAATATAGTACTCCCTCTGTCTTACATTATAACACACTTTTAGATAAAATTTTATATACCAATAAATCTCATTAAATGTATTTAACAACTTTATCTTTTTAAAATAAAAATATAATATCAAGGCCTGAAAATAAGACGTGATTAGCATAGAATATAGAAACAAAACTTATACTCCAGAAACCTTAACTTGGGGAGGGAATTTTTTTCCCCCTCTCATGGACACATTTTGTCGAGGATTAGACCACAATCTATGTGAGTCATATAGCAAAAGCTTTAATAATTTTGTAAAAGTTTTGACATAACCTTCCTTAAAAATAAGACCTTTCAAAAAATTTACAATAATAATTCTCAATACAAAATAGCATCAAAGAGCTCTGCTCGTAGCAGACAAATCATGCATAATATATATAATGGTTCTAACTATAGTTATGTAAAGCACTGAGAATAACATTTCTAAAACACAAATGTAAAATTTAAATTTTTACATCAATGTAAATCTTTCAGTTCAAGTCAAAAGGTAGCTCCTCAATAGTCAGTTGGAAGTACATTCAACTATAATATCTAGGACCAAAATAATTTCTTAATGAATAACATCCCAACAATGATAAAATTTAAAAGAATAAATTGAATACTTAAGTAATTATATAAATAGTTGAAAAGAAAAGAATAGTTCAATAAAATATACTCATTTAATCTTGGAATCAAAATCATAAACCATTAAATTTACAATAACAAAGCAATCTTATCATTTGATCTTGAGAAATCAATAAATTGAATCAATAAATAAAATAAATAAAAATAGAAACATTTACTAAATAAAACCAACGAAGTATAAATTTCACAAATCATTTAAAAGTTAATATTCTGAGGACTTCACAAAATAGATAACAAATGTGAATACATAATCCACAAAGGTAAATAACTAAATGCAACTTATGCTACGAAGCAAATGTGAACACACAGTCTACAAGAGTAAGTAACTAAACACGTCTCGAAACCACGAAAACAAACGTGTAAATACAATCCACGAGGCTAATACCAATTGAATGCGACTCAAAACCACGAAAACAAACACATATTAGACCCATGATAATAAATGTGAGAACAAAGCTCACGAAATCAAACTAACTAGCCATTGACCATAGTGCGTCAAAAGCTAACGAAACTGCCATTAACAATCAATGCTTTATATTTAGTCGTCTTTTAAAATCAACTTTCAAACATGCATGGAAATTTCCATAACAAACATTTTATAATTTTAGTAACAATTCCATGCATGACTTTATCAAATAAAATTCATTTGAACTTATGTACATACTTTATCATTTCAGCACAATATAATTTCACATAACAAATTGATCCATTAATGTAGAATTATCCAATAAAAAAAACATTCTTTCATAAATGTGGTTTACTAACAATAAAATAAAAAAAATGGCATTAATAAATTTTATAAAGGAAATTTTATTGATAAATTAATTGGGACGCTATTTATTTACCTGATGATTTCCAAATTCAAAGATATAATCCTTCCAAATTTCTCCTCTTTCAAATATTCTGTAAAACATAATAAGACTTTAAAAAGCTTTCTACAAGTTTAAAGACTCCTTTCCAACACTATCACAACCACAATCAATATAAATAATTCAAAATTTTCCCAAACATCATAATTTTTGGTACAATTTTTGTACGATACAATAGCCATAACTAATTACTTAATTGATATCTGATTCTCTATTGGACTTTTTAAAAAACACCTAATGTGCATTAGCTTCCCATCTATTCAATCAAGCTTTTTAACCTTCAACTTCTTGCCTAACAAATCTCCATATATCCATACTTAAATTTATCATGCTTTCCCAATCAAATTTCCTTTCAGAATCAAGTAATCTTAAAGAAAAATCATACACAGCACAGCACCTACCTCTTATTCTCATAGGCCAAAACTTTCAATTTAATTCAAAGGCCCCCATTTAGTCAATCATGCACAGTAGCAGCAGCAGCGAGTTAAAAAAAATAAAAAAAATGAAATTGCACTCAAACACACACACGGACTAATAGGCAGGAGAAGACTCAGGTCCGCACCTTGAATCATGAACGCCAAAAGCAGGGAAAATTTCAAAGCTCCCTTAAACTAGATTAGCAATGGCAAGCACGAAAGAGTGATAGAAGGAGACCTTGGCTGCACAGACAAGCAGAAGCAAGAAGACGATCCTCACCTACAATGGTTGCCTAGGGATAGTACGGAGAAGACTACGCCGCGCTTGGCCGTCTCTGCCGCACGAAGAGAAAGAAGATGAGGAATCAGCGGTGAGGCAGGGGAAAGGGGAAACTCGTGACTCAGACTTCTAGCACGGCAGATCATCACGAACCCACGATCACCTATGCCAGCGAACTACAATGGAGGACGAACGGTGGATATTGAACGGAACTCTCCTTCTCTCTCTGCTCTAGAACCAGATCGAAGATGAGGGAAAACAGAAACATCCAACGCATGCTCTGATTTACTCTCAATTCTTCATACTATTTATTATTATTATTTTTTAAAACAAGGGCCTTATAGTAATTTCACCACATTGAAGTAAAAGTTAAAAAAATCTTTTGCCCAATGAAGATTCGGACGGGAGACCTAGCGTGTGTTTGGACAGGAATAATAATCAATTTTGGAGTCTAAAATTGATTTTTGGAACCAAATTATCCAAACAGTTAAAAAAATTTAAAATTAATTATTGGCTTAAACGTGTATTTTTTCAAAAGCTCTCTGATCAGCTTTTTGAGAAAAGTTGATTGAAAGTGTTGGAAAAAATTATAAAAAAAGCCTAAAAAAATTATAAAAAAGACACAACATTAAATAAAAATAAAATTAAACTCTCTTCTCTTATTTTTTTTCAATAAAATTTAAATTTTATATGCTCAAAAAATTGATATTTTGTATTTAAAAATTAAATTATATAGTAATTTATATGGTTAAAATTGATTATAATTAAATTATGCAAACATCTTTAATTCTGTTAAAATTAATTTTAGAAAAATAATATCCAAATAAATTGTGTTATGACATAATCAATTATGATTAAAATCTATCACTTAATCAATTATTTTTATAATCCATTATACCCGACTAAAATCCAAATGAGTAACTAAATATAAGATCCAAAATCATTTTCATTGAACCACTAATTTTATTTAATTAAATCCAATTCAAAATTAATAAAAATACACTTAAAACACCTTATTATATATTTTAATTTTATTTAATGTTTCTGAGTTATTACATTTAAACTTTTAAAAATACTAATTATTTAATATATTAAAAAGAGAATAGATGGAAATTAATTATAGAGAAAGAAAGGATGATATAAGAATTATTGTATTTAATAAAACCTTAATTTACATAAAATATCTTATATTTTAAAGTGAAGGAACTCCTTTAAAAGTGTCCTATAGCTTAGGATGAAGGGAGTATAAATATAGATGCATGGGAAAGTAAAACAATCAAGCTTTAAGATTGTGCAATGAAACTCAATTATGCGTCACTTGACTTGGTAAAACTATCATTGAAAGCATCACATTAAATGTATTGTAATGATCCAAAAATTTAATTAAAATTAAAATTTATGGTGAGGTGTTTTAGTGGCATTTTTATATATAATTTGAGAGAGTTTAACAAGAGTGAATTGGCATCTTAGTGGCAATAATTGTGGGCCTTTATTTATGTATAGGTCCTAAGTTCGTATCTGATGCGAGTGGCTCTCATTCACTTGTTAGCCGTTCACGTGTGTGTAGTTGCTGATAAGAAACAAATTGGTTCCACAAGAATACAGTTTATCATCTTCTTACTTCCCACGTTGGCAAGCTTCATTATTGATGTTCCTACACTCTGGTACGTATATGGAAATATGCGTGTGTGTGCGCGCGTAAAATAATTTTTTTTAAGCTTAATCAACTTGGTTTAATTTTCCATCTATTATTATGTACTTGAAGACAAATATCATTTGTTTAACAAATTGATCACTCCTTGTATTTAATGATATTTGATATATTTTAAGGAATCATCATTGAATTTTATGTGAGAATTTTCTAAATATCAAGGAATATTTGAGTTTTGTGCATTAGGGAGATTTGTTATGGAAATGTCTTAAAAATTTATTGAATATCGGTTCAATTTAGATGTATAAACTCCTCACTGGTTTTTGGGTTATTTATTTATAGGATCGATGAATCTAGTGAAGCAAGAGTAAGAAATTTAACATATCAAGGAGGATATAAATTACTGTAATGCCAACTAGTTCTTTAAAATCTCGTCTTTTCCCACTTCTTTGTATATTCTAAATTAAAAAATGATTAATTTTAGCCACTATTTTCCCTTAGCTTTGCTTAATAATGCTAAAGCCCCAAAATTGCTAAATCCTTTGCAAGCTGGTCCTTGTATTTTTTTTAAATTATATTCTATTTAAATTTTTGAGATGTTATATGGAGCCGGAGAGAGATATTAGGTTTATAGAATAAATTACCAGTAATGGAGATGTATATAGTTTGGAGACCCAGTACTGCAATAATGATAGGACACTAATGATCACTACTTCTGAGATTTGAAATCATTACTGCAATAAATTTCTAACATTTGTGTGATGGCGTTAATAGTTTTTACCTACATTCATAATTTCATTTTTGATGAACTGATAATTTAATTTATATTTTGTTGATTGTTTATTTATGAGTTTTTTTTGTTTAATTGAGTAACTTAATCATTCACTTTTGAGATATAGATAGATTTCATTGTTTCAATGTATGAATTGATTTTGATTCGCAACAGTACTGCTTTTGTCAATCAAAAAATTTTGGTGTATTCATATATTGCCTTTAACTTAAAATTAGAACCTCAAAACCAAAATAGTCAATGATTTCATCCATTACAGTAGGCAATAATGTCTCCATGATGTACTCATTCATTCCTTTACAGCATGTCATATACACATTTTCCTAATTTCAATTTCTTATAAGTAAACATATAGCTTGGCTAGCTGCTTCTCTAACCAGACAGTAAACTTGTAACTGACCCAATTGAGTGTGAAGGAAAAAAATATTTCCCAAACTAATTTCAAACTATCATATGTTTATATACTTATGCTATTAGGCACTCCTCTACAAGTTGCTCCTGGACCAGAACTAGCCATTAGCAGCTCATATGGTGGAATTCCAGCCCCACATCTATTTTTCAAACTTGGGTCTTTATTTCTCTTCTCAATCTCCTTTTCTATTCTTTTTAATTCCATTGAGAACCTATAGAATGCCTCTACGATTTCAGGATCATCAGACCAATATGAAAGATCCTTCCTTTGTCCCAAATACTCTTCCCCTGTAAAATGTTGTGAAAGAATGTTGACCACAGCCAAATACTTTGTGGTCTGAAACAAGTCAGGCATTGAGCTCAAAAGGTACCCTTCTGGGTCCTTCATGAACTCTTTGTACTCTGGGCCATCTTCTTGAGGTAATAGCCTTTTCATCAATGGGGGACGCATTGGGACATACCCTCCATAAGGGTACTGCCCAAAGTTCACTGCAGAATGCTGTACTGATGCGATCCAAATCAGAGTTGTGAGAACCGAAATGAGGTCACTAGGAGTTGATAGTTTAGGCCACCAGCTTGCATGTTTGTGATCTGCATGGCCAACATTGATTACCTCACTATACCAAGCCTGAAGTTCATAATCTGATTGAACCATGAGCCCATCGCGATAATAGTATGTCACATAGGTCCTAACCCATTTCTCTATTGCAAACCAAATGGGAAGGCCATCATTTGCATAGGGATAGTCTTCGATGAGCAATTTCAGTCCATAGGGTTTGGTTTGGTCAGGTTCAGCTAATCCTCTGCATTATTAAGAGTTCATTAGTCTTTATATTTAGTAGAACATCACGAATTGAGATTAAAAAAATGTGAGTTTAGAATCCAAACCTTCTTATAAGATCATTAGGAAGGGCTTCCATGTCGAGACGCCACCAATCTTTGTAAGCAGCGGAAACAATGTGGTTACAATATTTACCACAGGAGAAGTCGGATTCAATGATGCCTCCAGCATTGATGAGAGATTCTCGAGCTAGAGCATTTATTTGCAAGGTGTCTTTCATATGAGGCTTTAGAAGCTTGAAAATTGGGTGCATCACATTCAATTGCCTATGAGCTGCTATAATAAATGGTTCCATGCATGCGTGTGTCCTTAACCTATACATGTACAAAGATGATTTCAAGTTTAGCCATTAAAATTTGATTGATTAATTGGTTTGAACAAAAAAATACCTCAATAGAGATTGGATTTATAGAAGTGTTTACCAGTGTTGGACAAGCTGGTGGACTCCGGAATCATTGGAGCAAACATGTGCTTTGCCAAGTTGCCACAGCCAATAAGAGTTGGAATCCTCAGGAGGAGTTAGGACTTGTTTCGACAAATGATTTGGATATCCTTGTGGAAGACTGAGCTCAATTGCTATAGACTTCAAAGTTCCCAGTCTAGTCAAAAAGAAGACGGTGCGAGTCGCATAAGCCTTCCTATCTTCTTGAGCATTTATGCCTTTGAGAAATGGGATATAAGCGTCATGGTAATCCAATATGAATAACTTATTCTCGTCCAAAGCCTGTAACATGGAAAAAATAAAACTATATTTAGACTTTCAAATGTACCGGGAAAAAATAAGTATCTAACGTTACTTGTTAAAAAATCAAGAATATAAACTTAAAAATTGCAAGTTTTACTTAGCTAATTTTTTTTTAAAAGAAAAAAAGACTTAAAAAAAATGATACCTCTTGTACAGACATTCCATGAAGGAAGGGCAAAATGTGTTCGTCTTTGAGTGCAGAATCTTGCGGACCATACAAAGATGGATCTAAATCAGTCTTTGGAGGAAAGGTCTGCAAAAGTTTAGAGGTTAGAAAATTTAGGATACATCTTCAGTTTGGTTTGTTTTATTTTTTGAAAAATTTGATAAATTTTCTTTAGGCTATTATATATACTTACTTGGAGCCTTTTTATGCTTAAAGGGTTGATGCCAGCTAATGTCTGACGGCCAAGTTCCTCATCTAGCATACAAGAGACACTGTTCTTTCCTGCAATCATTGGAAATTTTGTGTACTTAGGATATTTTACAATTCAAAAGTTTATAACGAATTGAAAATTTTTACAGAACTAAATGTTGGAAAATAACTATACATACCTCTGATAAGGTTTGGAGAACTGAATTTGAAGTACTCATCGAAAGAATCTTGGATCTTAGTGCTCGAATCTCTACACTTCAATTCTTGCGCAGTCTTTCCACTGTAAATGCTGGTAACATCTGAAAACTGCTTGAAAGCTCCACATTTTGTGACACAAGTTTTGAAGAAAGGAATAAGATTCCGAGTTATTCCTTTTGTTCTTTCCACATCCAGAGCTTCGGTTCTAATCTCATCAAATACTTCATCTCTCGGCACATAAGTTTCATTGAATGCATTTACTGGTGTCTCAGCTTTCTGGTCTGTTAAAAATGTAAATTATCTATGAAACTTTATTGTACAATAATCAATAATATGTTAATATATATTAATCTAAATTATAATTTTTTTTCTGTTTATATATACAAGTTAGTGGGTAGCTTTACTCTTATTGCGTACTATATCCATGTTGTTTCATCTTAAATCTTGAAAAATATTTAAGCTTCCATTTAGTTGAATTAATTTCTTGTTGGATTATAATAACCGTAGTCCGATTGGGATCAAGATATTATATCAAATTAAATATTATTTAATTTAATATACTGATTAAATTAGTTTTAATCAAATTAAGAATTAAATAAATATTTAATATTGATTGAATCCAATATATCTTATTAATTAAAATATTATATTTGTATATTTGTAGGAATTTATCTTATTGTTTTCAATCTCTCGTTAAGAGAATATTTAATTTACCATGATATGATTGCCCAGTTTAACTCAACCACCCATACATCGTATGTAGGCATTGACGAACCTACGCTGGAAGCTAGGAAACTCTTGCATGATAAGACGCAAGAAAATTGCACATGCTCTCATACAAAATTTCATTCGTCTCCATCATTAAAAAAAAAAAAAACAAATTTACTTACCCCCTTCACTTACCCAATATAAATTTGTATGACGTAAGCGACTAAAAAAATTATCCTATTAAAAGATAATTTTTATGTTAGTATAATTGTATGCCTTTGTTATTAGTATTTAATTTATTATGTTATTTCCTTAAATATTTTTATAAAAAATATGAATATTTATTTTAAATATGAATAATGCCTCCATTAACTTATTTTTCCAAGTCCGTCACTCTATATAGGGCTAGCTAGGTGAAGAGAAGAGACATACTAGAGTTGAATAGCCACTCTCATATTTACTCCTCTCTCTTGTAAGGTACATCAGTTGTGCTTCACCAGTATCTGGTATGATTAAGACTCTACACTTCACCCTTATGTGGTGTAATTCTACGTGGTTTAGTGGTCGTCATCTTTTTATGAAGTGAAGTTATCAGCGTGGTAGCTAGGGTTCATTACTCACCATAAACACAAGGAGGACGACCAGTTCGGCATCGTCTAGGGTAGGGGTATTGATGGCCACCAAATATAGGCCTAAAATCCAATCTAGTTTTGTCTGGATTCCCCAAATCATTGTACACGTCATAGTCATAAATCCTATCACCATATTGTCTAACACCTTTTCCTCCTCCTCCTCTTGCCTGCCTTAGCTCTTCTCTTCTTAGTTCTCTTAGACCCGCCGGGGTGTCCCAAGGTAAATGAACCTTTTTGAAACATTAATTAATCAGTCTCAAGTTGACAGCAAGAAAGAAAAACAAGGGTTAGGGTATCTAATTTACCTTTCTCTAATGTTCTTATAATGTCCTGTTTTTCAATCTTCATTTCTCTTTGAATTATTGGTTTCTATAAAAAACAAGAGATACGTTTTTTTTTAAAGTAAACATAATTTTTAATCCATATACTTTATTTACATTTTACTTTTAATTTTTATATTTTTTTTGGTATTTTAAATCCATATACTTTTACTTTTTATTATTTTCTATACCTCTGTGAACAAAATATAGGAACTTTAGAAGAATTTAAAATAATAAAAAATAAAAGTGTAAGGATTTAGAATTAAAAAAAAGTATGGAGACCAAAAATGAAATGCAAGTAAAGTAAAGGGATCAAAAGTTATATTTATCCTTTTTTTAATAATTTTTCAAAGATAAAAGTGTGCACTTTTGATAATTTTCACTATAAAAAAATCATAAACACAAAACGGTTCCATTTTGGGACTTTAAGATGTCAAATTGTTTCTTATTTTATAAGAAGTCAATGATCCAAAAAATAATTAAAAAAAATTGAAATTGAAAAGGGAAGGTATTACAAAGAACATTAGAGACTCCTAAGCCAAAAATCTCAACTTTGGAACGAATTTGTTGTGGCTAATTAGTGATAAAGAAATGAAACATCACATTTGCACTTACCTTGTTAGAGAAGAAAATTCTCTTCTCTGGCTGAAGCATCTCAGGTTGAACCCAAGAATTGCAAGGAAAATGGAAAATGCCTTCAATGACAATGCCTTCTAAAAAAAACTCCTTCTCATTTTTATTCAACACAGTGATTGCTCCTGGTATACCAAAATCTGAATCAATCTCAAATTCTACTTTGCAAGTGGTCCTGGAAGCCCCCACCTTCACTTCCTTCATCCACTCCAGTACAGCAGCTTTGCTCACCTTTGGTTCCATTGTTCCTTCATTTTCATATGAACAGTACCAATTGAGACCACATGTATACATATATTTGGGGATAAATGGAAAATGGGCTCAAAAATCATAGGTCTAAAAGTATCTAGAATCCTAAGCTCCTTAATTTTGTTACAATATTCCTCTTCAACTTTTTAAAATGGTGAAATATTATCCCTACCATTAACAAATATGAATTTTAATTATTAGTTGACCAAAACATGACAAAAAATTAAAGAACCAAAAAATCCTTGGTCTTTTTTTTTGTAATTTTTGGATCTTATTTATAATAGCTGGGTCATTTTTTATAATTTTTTGATCTTTTTCTTTAATTTTCTAGTTAACTAATGCTTACAGTTAAATTTTATTAATTATTACAGAGGTGACATTGCACTATTCTTAAAAGTTGAAGTGAAATATTATACTTAAAATAAGTTTAAAGTCTCATATGTTTGGCTTATATATAATAGGCATTATATTAACAAGAGACGCTTGAATCGAACCAAAAATGAACGGATAAACAATAAATAAATAAAAAAATAAAAACTTACTAGGGTCAACTTCAGTGCTCACTAACTGCATAACCATGCCCCTCCCAGGCGTGATTTTGTTGAAATCTTCAAAATGTTGAAGCATCATCGACGTCATCGCATTCTCTACATATTTGCTATTCTTGACAGTTACCATGGCAGTTACTGTCACCATCGTCGTCTCGTCCGATGCCGGCTTCGACTCAGCACCCTCGGTAACAGTTGAGAGTGGTGAAACAGTTTGTTGCACCACCACCTTCTTCTTTTTCTGCTCATTTGTTTCTTGAACTGATGAGCAATAGAAAGTTGGAGACAAGGAAATTCTATGCTGCTTGCTGGTGCAGCGTTTTAAGTAAAATAATGGCCCTATAGAAGCACCAAAACGAAATGCTTCCACCATAGATTGGCCCATAATCTCTTTTGTAAAAGTCATACCTGGTGTTTTCTCTTCTAAGCGACTACCCTATATAAGACTATATGGTTGAGACTTGGAATCTCGAAATCTTGAACTAGGATTACAATATATGATCAGGGAAGTGAAATGTGCTGCATTTATAGGCTTTTTTTTTTTTTTTTTTTGTGGGGGGGGGGGCGCGCGGAAGGTTCCACGTGTGACTCAAACACGTTTCAACATACGCGGAAAGATTTCTTGAATCCGTTGACAAAGTATGAATAATGTGATATATATGTCTATTGGTTGTTCAAGTAATCCTCATAAAACTGGCAGATATGTGACTAATTTCTAGAGTAATCTGAACATCATTTAAGAGGTTGTCATTTTCCAAACGATGATCTCTATACACATATTCAAGAATTAAACTTTAGAATGACATTTAAGAGACTCAGACTGCTACAATAAATGTCACATCCACTAAGTTATATGGCAACAATATTTTAGTTGTTAAACGTCAATCCATAATAATTTTTTTATTATCAAATAAGTAACTACTGATGTGTAAAGGATGAAAGACAGTTGAGTCTCAAAATAATAATAATAATAATAATAATAATAATAATATATTAAGATGTGTGCTGGTACCAACGGGATTATACTTCCTTTACAATATAATGAATTAATATTTAAATTTTTATTAAAAAAGATATCTATATTTAGTGCTCAATCATATCTCAAATAGGATTATCTCTAGTAGAAAGCTATTTATGGGCAGTTAAAAAAAAAAGAAAAAGATGCTGGCTTATCACAGTGGAAAGAAATGAGTTAATTCATTAAAAAGACATAATGTAAAATTAATACTAGAAAATAGGTGATTTGCAACTGACTAAAAAGCGCTCCAAATCCATCCCAAATTTATGCAGGTTGAGATTGAATGTTGGTTCCAAAAAACTCGCAACAAAATTTGGCACGGATTATTCTAACTCTAATATTTTGTCTCAGACATAATTGGGACGGAATTTAGGGTCACAAAATTGCGACACCATTTGGGACTAATTATTCCATCCCAAACTGTTTGTGATGAACTTTTGCAAAAAAAAAAAAAATCCAATCATAAAATATTGAAATGTAGCTAGTTTCAGTTAAGAAGTTATTAATTGACTTTTTTTTTCCTTTTTAAAACCTATGGGATATAAAACGATGGGCAGGAAGTTACGGAACTGAGAAACTTAGGGTCTGTTTGGTTTCTACTTCTATTTTTTTAATTTTAAAAACTGTTTTATTGTACAGATTTTAAAATTGTTTTTAAAAACAAAATAAAATGAAAATCTATTTGGTTATGTTATTTTAAAAACAGTTTTAAAATTACAAAATAGGCTGATAGTGATAGTTATAGGTAGTTAATGACAATAATTTATAATAAAAATTGATTAAGCTAATTGTAATCTTCAGTAATCAAATATAGCGTATTTTAAAAATTATCATACAAAATTAAAAATAAAAAGAAAAAGAAAAGTGGGATGGGTCTATAGTACTCATCCTACCGTGAAAACCTTATATTATAGATCATTGATTGTGGGAATAAATTATGGATTGTTGAATTAACAATCATTTTTTGTCTCTGAACTGTATATAGAGATCACAAATGCTTCTAAATTTAATTATGAGTATATTTTGCCTCTCAATTTTAAAGATTCACTTCTCCATCACCTTTTCATTTTTTTTATCACTAATTGACTGTTACTAGGTTCCATATTATATCTTGTTAACATTTTTTATTATAAAATATTTGAGTTGAAATGTAAAAATGACATTTTGAATGGAAGTTAAGGGGTATAAATGACCTTTAAGTTGTTAAAAAATATTTTAAAAATAGTGGGACCCACTAATAATTAACTGATATTAAGTGTTTTTAAAGTGAAGGTGATGACGGAGAGAATCTTTAAAATTAAGCGATAAAATTAACCTATTATTAAGTTTAAGAACATTTATAACTTTTCGTGTATAATTCAAAGATAAAAAATGACCCTTAAATCTTGATAGTTTATAGGTAAAACGGGCTCCCATAGTATCCCTTACTGCAGTTTTTTGCATATATGAAGATGCAAGCTAATGGAAATGGAAACAAACGAGTTACTTTTCTGGCCTTATTTTTAGGATAGTGATAGAAAATTAATTTTAATTTTATTTATATGATATTTTATTATCTGTTATGTTAATATTTAACTTTTTGTCTTTGTTACATGTTAAAAAAAATATTAATTTTTTTTGTACTTATTAGGAGGTAGACATAAAAATTTATTAAATTTTAAAATAAAGTTAATGAAATTAAAAATTTTATTTGATTTAAATAAAATATGTTAGAAATTTCTTGTAAATAGGATTAGAAGAAATATTTTATTAAAAAAAAGAGATTTAAGTGTCTGAGAACCACCTTTCTTGAATACGAAAAAAACATAAAATATAAAATGTGAGAAGACTACTAGAAAATAGGTTATTCAAATATATATATATATATATATATAAAAGAGGGAGCAATAGGAAAAATCAATATAAATTTAAAAAACTCAAAAGTAAGTAAATAAAACTCAATTATTTTAGGAAATGTGACCTTTTCAGTTTTTTGTTTTTTTTTTTTTCTTTTTAATTTTAAGTAAAATAATATTAATTCTTATTTATTCAGAGGCAGACAAAGCCAATGTGTTGAAGTGCTATATATAGGCTTTAATTTAACTCTGGAAATAAACACAAAAATATTCTATAAATTTAAATTCACATGTATTCTCAATGATAACATTAATTGACAAAATCATAAAGATATAATAATATATGTAACTGTAATTGAGTATTCAAAATCTTCTAATGGGGAGAGAGAGATCAGTCATGGGATCAGCCTCTAGGTTTCCAGAATTTCTGGGCTCTGAACCTTTGTTATAACAATACAAAACTTCACGGGATTCGGATTCAAATACACTTGCCATTTCCTTATTTGCATGAATATTTCTTTCTAATTAAATTCAAACGTTTAAATTATAGAAACCGTGTTGAATGGATATTTTGAGCTTTTGCACTGTTGTGTGGCTGTCATTTAATAACATGTCGCTCACGGATGTACTCATGGGGATGATAAGAACAATTGGCCCCGGAAGAATAGAGTTTGTCGTTTTCTCACTTACCACGTGGGCATGCTTTAACTAATCCTGGAATGTATGGTTGTTAGCACTAAAACTGAACGGTCAACATATTTTTTTAAATTTTTATTAAATTTAATTTAAATTTTAAGATGTACATATAATTTAAAATGGTTAGTTAGAAAAACATATGAAATTTAAAATAAGATAATTTTTAATCTGTCATTACGGTAAAATTAATTTTATTATTTAAAAAAATTGTAAATTAAAAAAATTGAATTTAAATAATCTAGATTCAATTTAGACATTTCAAATCTTCTTGCTGCAGTGAGCTTGATGCTTATGACAAAGAAGTTTTGGCCAGCTGGTATATCAATCCTTTGAAAAAAAAAAAAAAAGAAACCACGATAATTAGGGCTAGCTGCAAAAGCGCCCAAGAGAATGGTTAATTGGGATTAAAAAACATTTGACAAATAGTACTTAATAGGAAAAGATAAGTTAGGAATGATATTATCAAATATGTTAGGGGTGAAGAAGAGAAGCTTGCATGAGTATTTATACTAATTTAGCTCTAATCACTAGAGTTTACATCTAATTCTTAAATCTCACTTGAAATTTTTCACCACTTACTCTACCAAAATTAATCCACGCTTTTTGTTGTCATACCTAAGTTTGAATGCTATAAGGGAAAATAACATATAGGTCTTGTGAAGTATACTTATTTATAAATAAGTCCCATGAAATTCAAAAGCTACAACCTCCCTTAGAACTGAAATGTAATTTAAAATTGGGTTTAAAAGACAATAATGCCCTTGTTAAAAATGCATTATATCAATCAAATAATTCACAACTATTTCATCAATAATTTATAGCTACCACTTTAACTTTTTTTTTTTTACAACTATAATTTTAAATATCTAATAGTTAAACTAATCATGCTTTCTTAAAAAGTTTAATACTAATTGTTTATAACTAATTCATCGCTAATTTATAACTATAACTTCATATGTCTAATGATTAAAATGTTTGAATATTTGATATAAAAAGTTGAAGTTATAATTGTAAAATATTAAAGTGATAATTGTAAATTATTGATGAAATAGTTGAAAATTATTTAATTGATATAATATATTTTTAATAAGGGCATTATTGTCTCTACACCCTAATTTCAAATTACATTCAAGTCTCTCGTTCCTAAATTTTATGAGACTTATTTATAAATGAGTCTACTTCACAAGACTCATGCATAATTTCCTCATGATATAATCCCTTTAAGCTCTCCACGCTTAAGTCCTCTGCTACAAGTATAGAGAACAAGGGTAAATATAGTATATTTAAGAATGAACAACTACCATTAAGAACTCACTCTAAGAGTGAATTTATAGTAAATGAAGTTCAAATACAATGAATATGATTACAAAAAGTTGGTAAAGAATTGAATGCTTAAATTCATGCAATAACTCTCTACGTCTATCCTTATAAATGTGCCTATTTGTAGTTGAAAATGATTAATAATTCATTGGACACATTTAATTAGCTGCTAGATTCGTCTTTTCTTTCCTTCTGGGTTTCTCTAAAAGTATAGCAACACCATAGTGCTTTTCGGTGGAGTTTTGTACTCACGTGAAGTAAGGAAATAAACGGCTAGCTACTTTTAATGCTCTGATAGAAGGTAGGTAAGGAATATTGGTAGAGCCAAATGCAATATGGGTAGATAGAATGATTTAATTCAAATAAGTGTATAAAACTACCCAAGGTTTTAGGATCCCAAACTTTCAAATGTAAATATTTCCCTTAATTTGGGAGGTTTGCGAAACCTTGGATTATGATTATTCATGATAACTGTGATAATTTGGTGTAATGTCAAGTGGATATTATTGTGGTGTTAAAGTGCAATTCTTATTTAACAAAAAAATAGAGATATATAACATGTATAAGGGAGTTTATGATAATTTGAATAACAAAGTTGATGCT